GTTCATCACCTGCAACCTTGAATAGCACAAGTGATCTGTAAGATGCTTCTTCGGTTTCTCGTTACGTGATGGATCTGATCGCTTTATGAATAACCGCTGGCGGAATCGCTGTAAGACGAATCCATTGCAAAAAAGATGCACAAGACTTTTATTAGCCATCATTTCCAGCAACAACATGAACGCATTTGCATCTCTGCGTACAGCGCGAGACCAGGGAAAGATATATTGTTCTCGAGACGTGATAATTAATGGTTCGCGCCAGTGAATCAGGAATCAAATTTTTTCTTCTTTTTTTTTTTTGGAATTTCGACGAATCTGTGCGATGATAAATGGAATTGTTAGTTGCAGGATGCACTTACAGCGAAGAAAGTCTTCTTACACTTTGGGTAGAATTGATTTTGGATTGTGTCATTTCAACGCTATTGCAAAGAAAAATAATTTACGTTAATTTGAGTATTTCTACTTGCTCGTAAAGAAGAAATTAATTTGTTGGTAGACACTTTGCTAAATTTTTAGATTCTGTACGAAAATTGTGCTCATCTCGTTTCTGTTACATTCTCTGCTTTCTTAATTTAATTGTTAACAAATGAATGTAAATCATGTTTCCTTGTACTAACGGTAAATGTTATGTTTCTAAACGAAATAACGTACCATCTTCTCTGTTGAAATTATAAAACGCTAAATAAACTGTAAATTGCTTATAATCAGACTGCGGATTTTTATGCGAATTCAAATTTTCGTGAATATAATTGAAAATATAGAAGCTAGATAGGCAACTGTTTTATTCGCTAAATATCATAACGAGTACTATATTTCGGGACTATTCGTCTATTTTTTGCTTATTATGTGCATTCTGTGTATCTGCAAATTTCTCCATAAATGCATAAAAATCCGCAGTCTACTTATAATGCACAGTATCGACTAAAAGTTTGGAATTTTCTGTCAATTTACGCCAATATCGAATCTGCTGCTAATTCTTTATAAATTCGAAATTGGCGCTGTCAAATAATAGAACAATTTCTATGCAGATATAAATTAATCGATGGAATAATT